GCAAAGGTTGTTTGGGGCTTATACCACCATCTGTGTTCTCTTCATGTGCACCTGGAACCCCTGAGGATGAAGTATTTCTGTGTGCTCCTGGGCCTCTTTTTTTTAAATCCTCACCTGCGGACATTCTTTCATTGTTCTTTAGAGAAAGAGGAAGGGAGAGAAAGAAACATAGATGCAAGAGAGAAACATCGATTTATTGCCTCCTGTATGCACTCACACTGGGGATTGAATCCGCAACCGAAGTATGTGCCCTGACTGGGAATCGAACACACAACTGAAAGGGACAATGCTCCAGCCGAGCCACGTTGGCCAATGCTCCTGGGCCTCTTGTGTAGAGAAGTACTTTATTGCGAACAGGAACCAAAGTCTAGGAATAGGCTTTGAGGCAGACTCAGAGAATCGCCGTCTGGCACGCTCTGAACGGCTAATTTAATGAAGGCTACGATAAACGACAGATGCTTTGAGGTTGGCCTCAGGGGAAGGAAAAGGAGAAAAAGCACAGAGAGCAGAGAGGTGAAATGGCAGCTCTTAATCATCTGCAGAACAGGAAGGAAGAGGAGATTCAGGCTGGGTCATTCATAATAACCCATGCCCTCCCTGCCCTGTAGTCTTTGGACCGAGGGGTAGGCACATGACCCAAGCCAGCCAATCAGTCTTCCCTAGAATTTTTCAAATTTGGGGCTGGGAGACAGAAACCTTTCTCTCTGATGGGGAAGTCATTTGGAGTGAGCCCAGAATGATCTGTGGCCACCTTGTGAAGGATCGTGTACATTGTGGACATGCCTAGCATGCAAGGAAAAGCAGAGATGAGACCCAGAAGGGTCCTGATGACATCCCTAGTTCTGGTGCCCACAGTTCCTGGAGCCATTTCTGCCTCTGCCCGTCTTGTGGTTTGGGCATAGGAGCCTTGATGCTCAAATTAGCTTGAGTTGAATTACAGTCACTTGCAAATAAGAGTCTTGACTAATATGCTACAGATGGAAGCTGCTAGTTGTTGCCTAGGATATTTTAGTTCAGAAGAAAATAAGGAGAAGTGCTCAGGCAGGGTTTTTATTATAACCCACAGCCAGCCTCTTTTTCTTATTATATTTATTGCTGTTTTGCTTTGTACTCAGAGTGCTGAGGTAACCCTATGGATACTGGGTCATTTTCCTTCCAAGGGGCAAGCTGGGACTTTTCTTTCTCAGGCGACCTGGGGCCATTGGGCCTGGGTGGAGTGTCTTCATTGTGATTAAGTGTCTTGCTTAAGCAGCCCCTGTTAACTGGTGAGCTGTTTCATTTGCTCACAACTCAGAAGGTCCAGCCCGACATTGGGTTATGCACGTAAGGTGCCTGTTACCTGAATGAATTGTTCTCTGGTGCAACTCTAGGCTTTGACATTATTGGTTCAAGGAAGAGGTCGTCTGGCTGTGCTTGTAAAAGAAGCCTGTTGGCGTCCTAGGCCTGTGTGCACCAGTGGCTGATGGTCCCACCCATGGTATCTACTAGGAGAAGATTGGATTATTCTCGGCATCTCCATACATCTTGGGGAGTGGCCTACCTGTGCACCTTGCCTTGAAACCAACAACGATGAGATTACTATCCAGTCTTTATTCAGAAGAAGGTCCAAGGCATTTGTGTACCCAGATTCTTAGCTCTAGATGGCAAGAGAGCTGAGCTTTTGGACCAAACTGCCTGCTGTTTGAACAGAAGAGCAAGAGCCAGGTTGATGTTTCCTGGAATACTGTTGACCTTGGAAAGCAGAGTGTAAAGTTTTAAGAAGGGAAACGGGGAAGCAGATCTGGAAGGACTGGTAAGATCCAAAGTTTGGGTATGTTGATGTAGATGTCTCAGAACTTGGGCTGAGGCTGGAGAGTGATGAAGAAAATCCCCCACACACCAGGCATGGGAGGAACAGCATTTGATATGGGTATGTCTCCACAGCAGGAGACTAACCATATTGAGTTACCTTCTGCTTCTGCCGTGGGTTTCTCTGGTGGGAGTATGGCTTCGCTTTGGTCAGTTTCAGACAGAGGCTGCATCAGGCAAGTTTGAGGACCATGCCTGACCACAGTCCCTACTCAGGGCATAGCCCTGACTGGTGGGCAAGGGGGTCACATGATCCCACTGTGCTGCCTCTTGCCATGGTGATGAGATGAGGCGTGGACATCTATCTGGGCCAGTTGTGGGAGGGGATGAGCCCATCAATGTGTTATGCTGAGCCAATCAGAGACTTTTCTGAGAGTTTGATTTAAGACACACAGAAACATTCCGGTTGTTGGCAGACCCTAAGTCTGAAAGGTCATGGATCAGGGCTGGGACAGGTGGTCCTCTGGCAAGGTGAGCACGCAGGTGAGATGGGCGGAGAGGGGACAGGAACAGAGTAAGTGTACAGAGATGCCTCTTGTGTTCCAGTTTCTGGTTCCAGTTTCCATGAGGCCTGGACACTCTCCATTTCCTGTCCTTGGATTTCCTAAAATCTCTGTAGTCGTGCAGTAATCCACCCCCCTTTCCCCCGAACAGACTGGGGAGAGCTTCTCTTTCTTGCCACTAAAAGACCGTTAACTAGAACAGCTGCTAAGAACATGGTTAATGTGACAGGTACAAGGTACAGAATTCAGCTGGATGAACCACTCTGCAGTCTGGGGTGACTTCACAAATGCATGTGTGTGTTTTGGGGGGAAGGGGTGTTCAATTCCTACAGATGAAAGGACCCCCATAACCCTCTTCTCCTTCCTGTTTTTTTCTCCCTTGGCTGGTCTCCATCTCCTGGCCCCAGCTGCTGAGAGCTCTTTCTAGATGAACTCAGAGGCCGTTTTTGTCTCTAGGACACTGAGCTGAGACTCCCCTGCTCAGGAATACCCCTGTAACTCCCAGCCACCTGCAGGTCTCCTTTCCCCCTCCCTCTGTACCGTTCCCCACCCCCCCAGTTCCCTACCCCAGGGAAACCAAAGGAAAATATTAAACCCCTGGAACAGTGTCTCTCTCTGGTGGGGGTGAAAGGGCAGAGCACACCTTTCCGCAAGGACTTCCACATCTCTTCTATCAGGAAGGCCCCATACTCTAGCCACTGTTCTCTCACATTTGGGGCGAAGCTCCTCACAGCTCCAGGCTCTTCCCATGTTGAGATACACTCAGGTCAGGGTCACGTGGTCTGTTTGGGGATGGTAAGATGGGGATGCAAGGGTTGGAAGGGGGTGAGGCAGGGGCCCAGGCGTCCTCACTTCGGTCATGATGGCGGAAGGGAAGGTGCTGTTGCTGTAGGTCTAGCCACTGGTGCAGGGCTCTGTGGCGGCTGTGCCCTCGGCCTCTGTGCCATTGGGGAAGGGCTGTCCCCGTTGTGGGGAGGTGAAGCGGAGGCAGGACTCGGGCCGCCCCTGCCCGTCTAAGGGCGGCCAGGCGTCCAGCTCCCCGTCCTCACTGAGATTGGCACTGGCAGGCAGGTGGCGGTGATGGGTGAGGATGGCACTGGTGAAGTTCTGTAGGGTGATGTGCGGGGTCAGCAGGAGCGGGAGGGAGCAACAGCAAAGTCACCTGGATCTGCTGGAAGCGGCCGAAGCCCCCCAGCTGCTGCAGGTCACTGAAGGCCATGAGGCAGGATTGCTGGAGCTGAGGCCTCCTGCTCCCACACGCAGTTCCTGTCTTTGGGTGCGGGGTATGCGGGAGGGTGGGAGGTGCGGGGGTGGGGTGGGGAAGGACCACCCTTTGTCTCTAACTCATCAGTCCCCGTCCACTGTGGCCCTTTTTTTTTCTTTAAGGAATCAAGTTAAACTACAACTTGAGAGTAAGACATTCAATTATTAAGACTCACTGCATTAATGGTTTCTTCAAGGGGATGTAAGGACAGGTCAGATCTAAGGAGGGTCACTGACGATGCCCCCCAGTCTGGCAGTTCGGGCCTCCTGACGAGGCCAGAACAGGTGGCCTCCTCCTCGGAGAAAAGAGAACAATGCTAAGGTCAGGAAGGAAGGCCAAATCACTGCCATAAAAATAAAAAGGCAAGTTTCAAAAGTCACTGCTGTAAAAATAAAAAGCCCAGCTATGAACTCGGAGAAACTGTTTACAAAACACACACATCTGGCCCAGGACTTGTTTCTGGAATACATTTAAAAATAAAAAGCTTCCAATTCAATCACAAGAAATCAAACAATCAAATTTGAAAACGTGCAAAATTTTTGAATACTTTACCAAGGAACAGATCTAGCTGGAAATAAGCACATGGGAAGTTGCTCAACAGCATTCGTCATTAGGAAACTGCAAATGACAACTACAGAAAGTCACACCACACAGTTATTGCAATGGTTAAGATTTGACGAATTGATTGCACCACATATAGGCAAAGATGTGTCACAACTGGAACTTTCATATACCGCTGGTGGGGGTGTAAAATGTTACAACCACTTCGGAATATTGTTTGATTATTTCTTAAAAAGTTAAACATACATCTTACATATGACTCAGCAACTCCACTCTTTAGTGGCTCGTCTGGTGGAATGTTGTCCCATAAGGGGAAAGGTCGCTGGTTTGATTCCTGGTCAGAGCATGTGCCTGGGTTGCAGGCCTGGCCCCTGGTGGGGGGCGTGCGAGAGGCAAGTGATCAATATTTCTCTCTTTCATCGATGTTTCTCTCCGTCTCTTTCTCCCTCTCTTTCCCGCTCTCTAAAAATAAATAAACAAAATCATAAAAAAAGAGAGAGATAGAAGCAGCTTATGTCTACACCAAGAAGGGGCATGAGGAACCTTGCAGTGGTAATGAATAAATTCCTTGTCTTGGTTGTGGGGGATGGTTTCACGGGCATGTGCATCTGTCAAAACTCATCAAAATGTACACCGTAAATATGGACAAAATTACCTATTGTATTGCAATGGGGCTGCAAAATAAATTAGTCAATATGTCTTTGGCTGCAGATCACAGAAAAACCAACTCTCAGTGACTTCAGGAAGAAGGAGGATTTACATTTGAATTCCCCAAATTACCGATTAGTGGTAGGTGGCTGTGGCCTCGTTAAATCAGGAGCTCCATGACGTCGTCCACCCGCAGGTTAGGGCCATCTTTCCACTGTGTTCCTCTCAGTTGTTGCCTTAGTTCTTGCTCTGTTGGGTCACAGGTGGCTGCCACAGTTCCAGATGTCCCATCAGACTCAATATCGTCCGTCTACCGCCTAAATCTACACCCTGACTAATGCAGGGCCCAGGCGCCCGCCCTTCGTGCTCGCTGTGGCTGCACCCTGAGCGCCTGTGAGCTCCTAATGGTCACTTCACGTCCTTCCAGGTCTCTGCAGCTGCTGTTGCGAGCCTTCGGCGAGGCTAGGAGAGGAGGACCCTGTCCAGAATTCATGCGGAACAGGAAAAAGATGGGACATCTCCACGTGGAAAGACTCTACGGGGAAAACGAAGGATTGCCCAGGATCAAGGGAAGACGGAAAGCGAACAGCCTCAGAATGCGAAAAAGCCAGAAGTAGCTTGTACTCTGGAAGACAAGCGAAAGTTAGAAAACGAGGGAAAGAGAGAAGACAAGGGAAAGACCGAAGACGAGGAAATACTGGAGGAGCGGGAAAAACCAGAGGGGGAGGGAAAGCCGAGAGAAGGGGGGAAGGTGTTGGGAACAAGGAAATTAAGAACTAAATTTTAACCTTAATAGACAAGAACCACATTGTAGCTAAAAAGAAATGATAAAAGAGACAAAGTACAGTCAAAGCAAACATCCTGTGTCTAGCAGACGCTCTCCCCTGGGTAGGCTAGATAAGCAGTGCTTTGTAGTTTTTAATGAGAAAATAGAAAACTAGCTAGCTAGAGCCAGGAGATTACTAGGTTAATGAACAAACAGCCTGCCTTCCCGCCTTATGCAAGAATGCTTGGTTTGAAATTCCCGCGCGCAGTCTTTGTAAGCGAATTACTAACTGCCACGTCTGCTTCTGTATAACGCTTGCTTGCCCACCCCTATATAAGAACGTAGTTGTAAGCGCTCGGCGCGGCTCTCGTTTGCAGCTCCTTGTGGGCACTGTGTCGCTGGACACTTTGAGAGTTCACCCCTGCGCAGGTTAAACTTGGCCAATAAAGTAATATCTTTGATACCCTGAAAGTCTCCGATATTCGTTCTCGAGTTTGCTGGATGCTACAGAAGGCAGCTGGGGAAGCAAGGGCTGCAGGGAGGCACCCTGTGGGGGCACGAAGCGCCAGGAAAGCCAAGAGAAAAACCACCACCACGGGGCTGGCTCAGTGCCTCAAGAATGGGGAGGCCACACCCGATGTGCACCTGGGTGACAAGGGCACGGTAAGAGAATCTGATGAGGTTGCTAGGGTGGAGGATGAGGTGGAGAAAACCAGACAAAAATCAGCGGGGGTGTTTATGTGGATGCAAAACTGTTTACAGGACCCCTCCCACCCGAGGGGCTCCAGGGGACTCAGGGGTGGCGGGAGGGCCCCACAAAGGGGCTTTGAAGACATTCCCCTCGTGCAGTGCCCCCGGGCAGGCGTTTGCCAGGCCCCGGCTTCAACCTTACGCTAGTGCTTTGCTTTATTTATTTACTGTTTTAAAAAAGATTTTATGTATTTATTTTTAGAGAGAGGGGGAGAGAGGGAGAAAGAGAGGGAGAGAAACACCAGTGGATCAGTCGCCTCTCGCACACCCCCAGCTGAGGACCCGGCCCGCAATCCAGGCCTGTGCGGTCACCGGGAATCACACCCGGAACTGCCAACCTTCAGGTTTATGGGCTGACGCCCAAGAAACACAAAAAGAAAAACAAACAAAAAGACCCTGACCAATTCAGGCCCCGATAGGCCGCCTGGTTTCCTCTCCGGATGTATCTTGTGAGGAACTTGCCCTTTGGGCGTGGGCTTCCCTTGGGGGAGGAGTTTGGGAGAATCAGCAACAGACTTCCTTTGAACTTGTCAGGGAAACTGAGTCCCAAGCTCACCTAGCTTATCACTCCAGCTTTTGGCAATGGAGTCGGCTCCCATTCCAGGACCACAGCATGATACAGGCTGAAAGAAGGTTGTTTGATGGCTCTCTTGGACGAGGAGGAACAATGGGCAGGGGGTCCACCTAGAGCTTTCCTTTTGCTCCCTATGCCTACGACAAAAACCTTTCACAGCTCTGAAAACGTAAGACAGCAAGGTGGGGGTTTCACAGAGAGGAGTCTAGGAGGGCCGAACTTAAATGGCTACAAGACCAGAGGGTAACATAAATGTGTGAGCAATAGGGAGTGGTGAGGACTGTGGCGATCGAGACAGTACAGCGCTATCCCTACCAAAAAATGGTGCATGAGAAAATAAAATCTCTCTGGGCCAGCTTGACACCCCTGGAGGAGTCTGAGAATAAGGGTGTGCATCAGTTTCTGACTGCTGCTGTAACAAATGGCCACAAAGGTAGTGGCTGAAAACAGTGGGAATGAACTTCCTTATCGCGTGGAGTCCTGGGGCCACGTGGTTGAGGACGCTTCTGCATGTGCCATCTTGGCTAGGACGTGCTCAGAGCTGTGTCGGGAGAGCCCAAGGGTGGTCACAAAGGCCCTCCCAACTCTGGCTGAGGACAGGACCTTGTGGTCAAGACTGGACACAGCCTCTGAGGCCCCTGGAGTGGGGCGTGATGGCATCAGAACTCAGGCTCAGAGGTGAGGGGTTGGGATGCGAGCCAGTGTCCTCAACGATGACTCCTTGGGGACACAGGTCAGAAGCGCTTATTTTCTGAGGAAAAGGACCCTGGAAATGGGAGGCCAGGGCAGCTTCTGTGGAGAATTTGGCAGTGACGTCGGGGCTGAAGTCATGGCCGGGGTCAGGGCTGGGGATGCAGAGCTCACGGTGGCAAGGCTGAGGACAGGGAGTGGGTCCCTGTCACCAAGCCGGGCCTCCTGGTCAAGGACATGACGATCAAATCCCTGGAGGACGTCTGTTTTCTCCCTGCCCGTCAGGGAGTCTGAGATCACGGGCGTTCTCCTGGGGGTGTCCCTCAAGGACGAGGTTCTGAAGATGACACCGTGCAGAAGACATGCGCGGGCCAGAGAACGCGGTTCAGAGGAAGAGAGGGGGTGGCGGTGGGGGGCGAGGTCCAGGATGGTTTGCAAAGTCCTGGGGCCGAGGGCAGGGACTGGACTGGACTGCCTTGTGGGCTGGAAGCTGGCTGATGGGGAGGGGCTGTTACTTTTGAGACGAGACAGACAAAGAGATGTGCTGCACACAGAAAAATGTTTTAATGATGTGGTCGTGGTGGAATCTCTTCAGAGAGGAGAACCCCTGGGGAGGGGCTCCCCTGAACCACAGCCCCCGACACTTGGGCTGCCATCCCCCCTTCTGCCTCCTCGTGTGGGTGGTGGCCCAGGACCTGGAGGACCCCCGCTCCCTTTAGGGCTGTGTGAGGCCCGTTCTTGGCGCTCAGGGTCCACTCTTCTCTCGTGCTGAGGGCTGGAGTGGGACCATCTGCTTCTGTTGCTCTTGCTGCTGCCGCTGTGACTTCCCTCTCCTCCTGGGGGCAGCAGAGGGGTGCCCTGGGTATGCAGCCTGCAGGCTGGGGCTGGGAGCTGGGGGCGTCTGTTCCCAGTCACCAGCTCTCTGCCTCAAACACCTACCCCTCCCTGCAGCTGGGCACCCCAGGAAGGACTCTGGGGAGACTTAGGCAACTGGGGAAACGGGAGCAAGGAGCCCTGGCCCGGAGGGCTGGGTTTGAGCCACAGTGTGGCCCGGATGCGTGACCTGGGGTAAGCCCCTGCTCCGCCGCTGCGGGCGGGGCCCCACCTGTTCTCCACGTCCTGCACCGTGTCCGGCAGTGGGCGGCCCAGGGTCTCCGGCAGGAAGGCAGTGGCAGCACTGGCAATCACGGGGACAGTGCCGAAGATGAAGAGGGGCATGGGGCGGTAGAGCTCAGCCATCATGGTCACCAGTGGGCTCACAATGCTGCCCACGCGGGCCATGGTGCTGCCCAGGCCCAGGCCTGTCTGTCTGTGGGGTCCACAGGGGGTGGGAGCCGGTTAGTGTTCTGTTCCCCACTGGTCAGCAAATGGATTTGGCGTGTGTTTTAGAGATAATAATAAGAAGAAGAAGAAGAAGAAGGAGAAGAAGGAGGAGGAGAAGGAGGAGAAGGAGAAGAAGGAGAAGGAGAAGAAGGAGAAGGAAAAGAAGGAGAAGAAGAAGAAGCAGAAGGAGGAGGAGAAGAAGGAGGAGAAGAAGTAGGAGAAGAAGGAGGAGAAGGAGAAGAAGGAGGAGAAGAAGCAGAAGAAGGAGGAGAAGAAGGAGGAGAAAAAGGAGAAGGAGGAGAAGAAGGAGGAGGAGGAGAAGAAGAAGGAGGAGGAGGAGGAGAAGAAGGAGGAGAAGAAGAAGAAGAAGAAGAAGAAGAAGAAGAAGAAGAAGAAAGAAGAAGAAGAAGAAGAAGAAGAAGAAAGAGAAGAAGAAGAAAGAAGAAGGAAGAAGAAAGAAGAAAGAAGAAGGAGAAGAAGGAGGAGAAGAAAAACAGGTTGGGGAGGGCTCTGGCCAGAGAGTTAGGAGACTGATTTCGCCTGCCTCCGCCGGTAACCTGCTGTGAGACCCGGGGGGCCAGCAAGCCCCTTTTGCCCTCTGCACCTGAGTTTCCCCAGCAGTCAGTTCAGACAGCTGGGTTAGGCCAGTCGCCCTCAGATCACTTGCGGGGGTTCTGAGTTTCGGCTGCTCCAGCCCCACAAGGACAGGCCTGTGGGAATAGAATCCCCTGGGGAAGGATCAGAATGAGTGAGTGAAGATCGTTCTCTATGAGGGCAGGGCAGAGGTTAACATTGATTCAGGAGACACACTGCTGGGGTTCAAATCTAAGCTTTTTCACTTGCAAGCTGTGTGGCCTTGGGCAAGTTGCTTAACTTCTCTGTGGCTCAGTTTTTTCATTTGTAAAATGGGAATAATCCCAATATCTACCTAATAGGATTAAACAAGTTGATAGTTGTAAGCAGTTTAAGACAGCACACAGTAAGTGGCTTATGCGATTATTCTTTCCCTGGTATCTCAGGAGGGCTCAGTTCAGTAACCCTGACCATGACCCTCAGGGTTCTCATGCCAAGTGGCTCAGGGAAGCCTGACATTTCTTTGACATCTCACGTTAATTTTGCTTCCCATTCTTTTTTTTTAAATTAAGATTTTATTTATTTTCAGAGAGAGGGGAAGGGAGGGAGAAAGAAGGGGAGAGAAACATCAATGTGTGGTTGCCTCTTGCATGCTCCCCTACTGGGGACCTGGCCCACAACCCAGGCATGTGACCTGATTGGGAATCGAACCAACGACCCTTTGGTTCACAGGCCAGACTCAGTCCACTGAGCTGCACCAGCCAGGGCTGCATCCCATTCTTTTTTTTTTTTTAAGATTTTTATTTATTTATTTTTAGAGAGGAAAGGGAGGGAGATAGATAGATAGATAGAGAGAGAGAGAGAAGCATCAATGTGTGGTTGCTGGGGGTCATGGCCTGCAACCCAGGCATGTACCCTGGCTGGGAATCGAACCTGTGACCCTTTGGTTCGCAGCCCCCGCTCAATCCACTGAGCTACGCCAGCCAGGGCTGCATCCCATTCTTAATACAGGCACGTATTTCTCGTTTCTTAATTCAATGACCCTTCCTCCGCTGAAGCTTGGCACGTGGAAAAGCACCGCTGTGCTTATCCGCAGAGCGGGCGTACCATCCAGCCCCACCATTGTTAAGTGATGGGAAAGCAGTTTCACGTTTGTGGTCTTTGGTTTGAGCCGTACCACTGGGTTTACAGGTGGAATTCAGATTTAGTGTCATATCAAGGGGGTGGTTTCAATTCATTGCCTCTAAGATGGAGGAATCAAACTCATTGTCACCGGGGGCCACATCAGACTCAAGGTGGCCTTCAAAGGGCCGAATGTAATTTCAGGACCATGTAAATGTAACTACTCCCTAACTGGGGGCACGGAGCTCGGCACTGCCACCGGGTAGAAACGAGGTGCTGGGCTGGATAAAACAAGGTGGAGGGCCGGATTCGGCCCACGGGCTTTGTGTTTGCTGCCTGTGCTCTGAGATGAGTCTTGGTTCCCTGCTCTGTCTCAGTTGCAACACCTTCTGAGATCTTCTAGGGTCAGGTAAGGGCTTAGTCGGTAGTCACACCTGTGTTGGCCGGGCCACCCAGCGTGCACTGAGGGGCAGCTGTGTACCTTGTACTGATGAGTGCTGGGGAGGGGCTTTGGGCGGGGGCATACTGGGCTGTGCTCTGGGGTCTGACCTGTGCGTGGGGGAATGTTTCACCCTGAGGCTCCTCACGAGGCTTGCACTCACCGGATCGTTGTGGGGTACAGCTCCCCAGTGTACAGTAAGATGCATGTGAAGGAGGAAGCCAGGCAGCCTTTCCCCAGCACAGAGAGGGAGGTTCGGACAATGGATTGCTCTGGGGAGAAAGGAGGGGAGTCAGCAGGATCTTGGAACTGGAGGGAATTGCCTCTCCTTCCTTCTGAGAAGTTGAGTCATGTCTGGGGACGAGGCCAAGGGAGGACCTGCGTGCTGGTGAGCGCTCACCCTGGGGCACCACCCCGTTGACCAGG